AAAAAAAAAAAAAAAAAAAAAAAAAAAAAAAAAGACTGTAAGCTTACCAGCAATGGAAGAAACCAAAAATAAAATCAAAAAAAGGTCTGACTACGTTGGGGCCCAGAAAGCGATACCCCAAAGGAAAGGGCTAAGAAGCAGCCTCCAAAGCAAAGTTTTCCTCTGCCCTTCTCCTGTCTCTCAGCCTCATTCTCCCGAGGCAAGCCACAGGAATTAGAGTCCCTACTCCCAAGGTGAGTCATTGATATACTCTAACACCCTCCCCCCCATCTTGGGGCTGGCCACGAAGAAATACTCTGACCTACTTTGTGTGACTGTAGGTCCTAAGACCCCTATTCCAGAAGGGTCCTGCCCCATACCCCAGAGGAATGAATGCTACACAGAGTGGAGAAGAGGAATCCAGACAGGCCCTGCTGGGTCTCCCCACTCAATCTGTGAGTGTTATATCACATTTTCTTGTGCAGTCACGTTTTTACACAGCTGTGTATGCTTCATTCAACCTAAGCACAAATATGGACAATTTTCCCTATATCTTTGGGTCTTCATTCACAGGGCTCTTGTGTCACATAAAACTATGATATAGTAAAATTTATTGTCTTTTCTTCATAGTAATTTATTTATCAGAAGATTTTTCAAAGAACCTTCAGGGGGTTGAAGGTGATGTCTTCCCTTGGCCCCTACAACCATTTAAAAACATAAGCTCTTTGTTCATGTTCATCTTCACACATGCCATAAACGAAATGAAAACAATGAACTGGAGGAAACAAATAGGACAAGCCACCAAGAGTCACCCTCAATGCCACAGCCCCTGCCCAGGAGGACCTGCTTGCCGCTCCATCTGTCCTGCCCCCTTCCCTTGGGGCCAGGGAGGACCAGGCCCTCTCCTAGCCAAAGCCCAGCCCCCACCAACAGCTGCCACAGGGGAGGGAGCGCCAATGGGGCTGGTGGGGGGAGCTATTTCTCACTGAAAACCCCTTTTTCCTAGTTGAACATTTTCTGTTTTTTTCTTTTCCCAAGAGCAAGAGTAGCAAGAGTTTTAAATGTGATGAGAGTGGGGCGGGGCTACTCGAGAGAGGACCCAAGAGAGGAGGGTAGGAGCCCCCGTCTTGCCGTCCCTGGCTCCCCAGTCCCTGTGTGGCCCCCACCCTCTCTCGCGGGTCCTTCCCAGCGGTTAGCCTCCGTCACCCTCACCCCCATGTGCATCCCAGGATCACGGGACCCCCAGTGTGGCTAGATGGGTGCATGCATGTCCAGCTCTGCCTGGCTGCTGGAGGGATGATGGGGAACCGCCCCCACCTCCCTCTGCACCCGATGAGTCTGCTCCCCCAGGGCCCGTCTGGGTTCTTGGGGGTGGCTTTCCCTCCCTGAGCACGTGCTTCAGGAACACCACCAGGCCTCGCCTTTTACTCCCTCTCTAGCCAGGTCTGGCTTCTGAGATTCAGGCCGGGTGTGGAACTGCCCCTCTCTGCTCCCAGACGCCTCTCATTCAACCCATCCACCCAGCTTCCTCTCCTGCCCTCCACCCAGCGGTGAGGGTTGGAAACTGCTAGGCATCTGACAGCCCCTGCCCTTCTTGCCTTGTGGCAGATCCGTCACCAAGCCCCGCTCCCACCGCAAGGCCAGCCCCCAGGACTGCCGCGAAGGGGACCAAGCGACTTCTGCATCCACCCTGGCCTCTTCATCCACCTCTAGGAACAGTTCTCTAGAACTCATTGGACACCGTGCTCCTCCCAATGCACATTCTCCGGCGCTCGAAGGGTGGCAGGACTGGGGAAGGCTGGAGGAGGAAGGGGTCTGAAAGGAAGCTGAGGGCCCGGTGGACCTGTTTGGGAGTTGGCCGGTTCCTTACCACCCCCAGGGTTTGTTCATTCACTCATTCAGAAGAGAAGTGAGGGACTCTCTGAAGAAGAAACAACTGTTTCTGATGAAATTAGAAATGAAGACAAATGGGTGTGAGGTGGGGTTTAAGAAACAGAAGGGGTGGGAGAGTTCTGAAGAGAGAGGGGAGAGAGGAGAAGAAGGGAGAGGGCCCACACGGGAGGGGAGGAGGGAGACCCTGGAGCAGCAGGGCAGAGACCAAGGTGGAGGGAGGGGCCGGCAAGACCCCAAGCAGACAAACACCCTCCAGCCCACCCCGCATGAGCAGCAGGACCTGCGCCGCACCTTGCTCAGGAGGATGCTGATCTTGTTACCACTGGCGTTGCACCTGAGAGAGGCGATGCCCCCCACGCCGGGGACCAACTCGGCCAGGTTCTTGCAGCCACAGTGAACTTTTGCCTCTCTGTGGGGGGAGAAAGGACCTTCAGAGCATGCCAGACGCCCATGTGCTGTGCGTATGTACCATGTATCGTCCGTGCGCAGGTCGCAGAATGAGGACTTGTTTCTCTGACTGCCCTGGAACCTTCATGCACACAGTGCGCTCTGCTGGCAATTTGCTGCTTCTTTTGGTGGGTGCTACACGTGCACCATGACACGGGCCAAACTCAGAACCTGGGGGGAGTTTTTAAACCTCATATACTGTTGTGAGTAAATATGAATATGTATTCTTAGTCCCCGCTTCTTAAAAAATAGCTTACTGAAAACACCATTCTGCACTTTGTGTTTTGCCTGTTACACTGTTTTGGTGATCTTACAGCATACAGGGGATTGCTGCATTATTCTGTGTTACAGCTGCAGAGTTTTCCATTATTAGATGGATAAACTAAGAGTTATTTAAATCGTCCCCTGCCAGTAGCATTTAGTTGCTTCTAGTTTGCTGCCGATATAAACAATTCTAGGTATGCAGTGGTACCTCCCGATTTTTTTTATTCATATTTCTTCAGTTCTTCCCTAATGTATTTTTCTGTCCCAGGATCCCATCCAGGATCCCATGTGACATTTAGTTGTCAGGTCTCCTTGGGCTCCCTTTGGCTGTAATGGTTTCTCAGACATTCTTTGTTTTTGATGACTTGGGCAACTCTGAGCGTTGCTGTCCCCTTTACTGTAGGAGGCCCCTCAGTGGGCTTTGTCTGATGTCTTCCTTCTGATCAGATTGGGGTTGTGGGTTTGGGAGGAAAAGCACAGAGGTCAAGTGCCATTCTTACCACATCATATCAGGGCGCCCACTGTCAACCAGAACTAATCCTGCTGATGCTGACCTTGATCGCCTGGCTGAGGTCTTGTTGGTCAGGTTTCTCCACTGTGAAGTTACCTACCCCCCCCAATACCATACTCTTTAGAAAACATTCACAAAGTGCAGCCTACTCGCATGGAGTAGGGAGTTAAGCCCCACTCCCCTCTCTGAGGGTAGGGTAGCTCTGTAAATGACTTGGAATTCTTCTGTATGGGAGATGTGTCTCTTCTCCCCCCATTACTGACTTCTTCCATCATTTATGTCAGTGTGGACTCACATATATTGATTTTGTACTTTGGGTTATAATTCAATGCTACTTGACTTATTTTGTTGCTCAAATTGTTCCAACTTTGTTTTTTTTTTGTTTTTGTTTTTTTTTTAAAAAGATGACCAGTAAGGGGATCTTAACCCTTGACTTGGTGTTGTCAGCACCACGCTCAACCAGCGAGCTAACCGGCCATCCCTACATGGGATCCGAACCCGTGGCCTTGGTATCATCAGCACCACACTCTCCCGAGTAAGCCACGGGCCAGCCCAAATTGTTCCAACTTTGGCTACTGGGAGCTCTTTCAGTTGGTTCCTGTGTCACTGTGACTCAACCCCATCATTGTGAGGTTTCTGTTTGTTGTTGTTGGGTTTTTTTTGTGTGTTGTTTTTTTTTTTAAAAAGCACTTCCCCACTCTGTGGCTGTACACGCTGCTGCAGGCTCATTTGTGTGTTTCCTGCCCCAGTCCTAGAACCAGCCATTTCTCCAAGGAGCCCTGGTTCCTCTAACTGGAACATGTTAGAAGCTGAGATCTGGGCACTGGGTGTGCTCCCTGCTCCAGGGTATTGTTGCTCCTGGGCCCTCTCGGCTGACAGAGCAAGGAAGCACGTGTGTACAGCTATTGTACAGATACTTACCAGAAGTTAGTTTTATGTGTGGTCTCCCATATCTGTATTAAGTTTCTACCAATGTCTTCAACTCAAGAATCATTCTATCTTCCTCCCCTTGCTCATGTCACCTCCCACTCTGACAAGGAGAAATCCGGCTCCTATCACCTGCTATCCACTTAATTATTCAATTCCAGTACATAGTATCAGAATTGTTAATCCATACCCTGGGGAAACAATGTTATTAACCAAAGTGCCGTGCTTTCCTGCAGTCCTTGTCCTGGTGTTACAGTCTCCACTCATTCCCAGAGTTACTCATGTCACCATCTCTTCCCCCACACCCTTTAGTAAGGCTGTTTCATAATCTGTCATACAGTTACATTGTTTTGTCCCCTTTTATATTCCATCATGAGGTTCCCCCAATGTTCTAAATAATTTTTAAAAAATTTTTCAAACATTAAGGTTTCACACTTTGGGCTGTAAAGTTCTATGGGTTTTGACAAACACACAGTGTCATGTATCCATTGATGGAGTTTGGATGTATTGTCTTCCCAGAACTCATGGAAATCTGATCCCCAGTGTGGCAGTTTGACTCACGGGGGCGGATCCCTCACGAATGGATTAATGCTCTCCCTAGGTGGGGGAGTAATGAGTGAGATCTTGCTCTATTAGTTCCCGTGAGAGCTGGTTGTTTAAAAGACCCTGGCACCTCCTCTCTCTCTATGGCTTCCTCTTGCCATGTGATCTGCTTGTACTCCCCAGCTGCCTGCTGCTTTCCACCTTGAGTAGAAGCAGCCTGAGGCCCATGCCAGATGCAGCTGTCCCAGAATCGTAAGCCAAATAAGCCTCTGTTGTTTATAAATTACCCAGTCTCAGGTATTTGTGTTATAGCAGCACAAAACTAAGACAATCTGTCATATACAAGACTTTCATCACCCTGAAAAGTCCCCTGCGTTTCACCTGTTCGGCCCTCCTCCTCCTGTGTGCTGCTCCATCATCGTGCAAAGACTAAGAATTTAGACCAAGACATAAGTTATTTCAAAAAATGAAGTGGCATGTTAATGTTGAAATGAGAACTTAAAGAGTTTTCTGGTTTCCATCCCATTTTCTACCCACCACATTATCTGCTAATTTAAAAAATGTAATACTTTTACTTGGACAAAAATTGTACCTTCGGGAAAGATCAAAGCTTTTGAAGTGAGCTAAGTCTGTCCCTATGACCAGGAAATTTCCGCAAATGTCCAGGAAGCATGGATTCCCCTCAGCCTCAGAGAAAAGCAGGAGCTGTTTGACAGTCCCCTAAGGAGAGAAAAGAACAAGAAATTTAGGAAAGCAGTTTTTATAGCATTTAATTTTTGCTACTGAACATTATTCACAGACACTCTTGTGCTCTCCACTCATTCATTCAATACGTATTTACTGATGGCTTCGTGTGTGCCCAGCACTCTGCTAGATTCTAGAGCCACAGGGGAAAGAGGGGACCCTGCCCTCTGGAGAGCCCTGGAGCTTCGTCTAGAGGGAAGAACAGACGGCAGCTAGATCAACAGCAAACATCCAAGTAACCTCACCTGAGAACGTGCTGTATGGGTCATATGTGGAATGTTACAAAAGCACCACTTGGGTCCACCTGACTCAGCCTGGGAGGCCCTGTCTGTGGAGGTGCTGTGTTAAAGCCCCTGATAATTTCTCACATTGTTAGTGTCGTGGGAACGGCTACCCCTGGGTGGGGGATGGTGAGAGGAAGGAGCTTTACTGGGATACCAGTTACATCATGGGCATGTTCCACTTGTGAAAGTTCGCTGAGTTGTACACTTACGCATGACACACCCACTGTTCCCATATGGATGTTATACTTCAGTAAAATGTTTAAGAAATAAAATCTTGTCTAGGAGCAATGTTTAAACTGAGACTGAGGAGAGGAAGGAGCCAGCTATGTGGAGAGCCCCAGGATGGCATTCCAGGAAGGGAGGCAGCATGCACAGAAGCAGGAAGGGGCCTCTGTGGTCTGGGACCCCCGTGGCAGGAACAAGTGAGCAATGGTGGGAGTGTGCACAGAGGGCGGGCAGCTGTGCAGAAACCACACAGGAGCGTCCTGTAGGCCAAGGTGACAGCTAGCTTTTGTTCTAAGTGAAAATGGAAGACACTGCAGAGTTTTGAGCTGGAAAGTGATTTCATATCATTTATATTTTTATTTTTATTTATTTTTTTGGCAGCTGGCCAGTAACAGGGATGGAACCCTAGGCCTTGGTCTTATCAGCACCACACTCTGAGTGAGCTAACCAGCTAGCCCTATTATTAAAATGTCACTTTTGGCTGACTGGTTAGCTTACTCGGTTAGAGTGTGGTACTGATTAAGAACAAGGTCAAGGGTTTGGATCCACATACCAGCCGGCCACGAAAAAAAATATATATATTAAATGTCACTTTTACCTTCATAGCAGATTGGAAAGTACACCCCACAGTTACACATGAGCAGACCTTCTGCTTTGCAGTGTGTCTTTTACACAGATTGACCCTAGTCCTCCAAGTTTCAGAGAGGTTCTTGGCTTAATTCAGGCAACACCCAGTGAATGCCGACACCCTGCACGGATGGGTTGGGGACAGAGCATCACAGCGGTGAGTGGTAGTGGGGGCAGCGAGTCAGATGCACACAACTGAACACATCTCAGGGCAAACACAGGCAGCGGGGGAGGCACAACTCCAGTGCACAGGAGTTGTATGGACTCTGAGCGAGGAGCCAGGCTGGAAGACCAGCAGTGCTCTAACAGAACTTAGTGTGCATAGAGTTTTGAACAGAGAGAGACTCCAAAAGCAGGAGAGGAGGCAGGAACATGGAGTGAGTCTAGGAAACAGGATGGGGGGATGGATGGGAGGCGGAGGGGGAATGGCAATCTGAGGAATCTTGTTCTTTTTGCGGGGGCAGCTGGCCTATACAGGGATCCGAACCCATGACCTTGGTGTTTTAAGGCTGCGCTCTAACCAACTGAGCTAACTGGCCAGCCCCAATCTGAGGAATCTGATCTTTATTTTGATGTGGCTAGCAGGAATTTGGTAAATTCACGTGGAATGAGTGAACAGCTGCTTGAACACAGGATGAAAAGACAGCACAAGGGAATAGCTAGGTTCTTGGCTTCTTAGCAAGGTTGTCCTCTGCTTGTTCTTTACACATGGGGTCCCGGGTTCAAACCTGAGCTTACCTCGTCTTGCTTCCACATTGCTTCAACTACCGTCTTTGTATCCATGATTCCAAATTCCCAAATTACTGCCTTCGAACGCCTGCCCAGCCCTAACTTCCGGAACCTGTACTTCCAGCTGTCTCTTAGGTATCTCTAAGGGTGTTCCGAGGTACCTGGAACTCACATTCTGCTCTGCCCCCTACACCTGCTCTGCTTCTGGACTTGCATCTTAAAGACACCATGATAAACCCAGTCTCGCAGCCTAGAGAACTCTGAACATCCTCAACTGCTCCTTCTCTTTAGTCACCCACCACACAACTGGTCACCCACCCTCCTAACTACCCACAGCCCCTGCTCTGCTCCAGCCTCTTCTTGCAGCCACTGCCCGGGTCCAGGCCCTCGGAGCCTGCCACTTGTGGCATCTGTGACTTCACTGTCTTCGCCAACTACCCAAGTGTTTCCCACTGCACTAGTACAGAACTTACCTTCTAGTGAGAAAACAACACAAAACAACAACAACAAAAAGCAAATCAAAGCATGCCCTGTCACTTCTGGCTCTGACCCCACTGCCCCCCGCTGTCTCAGGGTTGGGGCCCTTTGCAATCAGCTGCCAGCCCTCCTGCCTCAGTTCCACTCACCCTGCTGTCCCACGTGCCAGCCCCTTCCTCAGCACTTAGCCTGCGGGGCCTCCATGAGGCTGACACAACGTAGTGAAACACACGCAGGGCCAAAAATGGGCCAGGGCACTTATGTTCTGGCCCAGGAAGGCTTGAGTGTCCAGAGCCACCTCCTCCTGACACAGACACTGGCAGCGGCTGTGGAAGAGGCAGAAGGGTCTGGGAGGACATCCGCCAGCAGGGGACCCGAGAGATCATTGACTTCCCTTTACACGTGTTGGCATTACCTTTCTGGTGACAACCAACATACACTCCTTTTTTAACTTACTAACAAATAAGGCTGGCAGGTTAGCTCACTTGGTTAGACTGATAATCAAGGTCAAGGGTTCGGATTCCCTTACCAGCTAGCGCCCAAACAAACAAAACCAAGAGAACGAAACATACACAAAAAATTAACACAGTAAGGAAAGGATCCAGCTCTGCGCCAGCTGTTGTCAGATGCCCTGCCAAGCCCGGCCAAGCCCTGCCAACAGGGCTCTTCATTGGCTCTGTTTCCCACCAGGTCTGCCCCCTCCTAGCAGTCAGCGTGCCCCCTCCCGGCATGCCGCCGACCCGCACATCCTGCCTCTGTAAGTCTCTCTACTAATGCAGCGGTCCCTTTATCTGTCCTTAAGAACACGGTCCCTCACCACCTCACCTGTATGTCCCCATAGGACTGCAGGGGTCAGAGCACACATGTAAAGGGGTGAGAGAAGGCACAGGTGGAAAGGAATCCACTCTCTCTAGGTGTGGGACATCCGGGGCCCTGGTCGCCTCCCTCCAGCCTCTCTGCTTCTTCTCGAACCTGTGGCTGGTAACACCTCCCTCTGCCTGTACCTTCTGCCCAGAGGGTGCAGGGCTGCGTGGCTCCCATGTCTTCCTTCCATGTGACTCAGACTGCCATCTCCCACCACAATTCGTTAGTTTTCCCTTTGGCACTTATCACTGTCATGTTTACTGACCGCCACTGAGAAATGACCACTCCACGAGAGGGGAGTGGATGGGCAGCATGTGAGGTGCAAGGCCAGGGAATTGGTGGTGGGTTCCAGGAGAGAACTCGAAGCTGGATAAAAACTGCACCAATAGCTAAAATCAGAGCCGTGGCAAATGCCCTCGACCTTGTTCCAGAACATTGCTGCACACTGTGGTTTGAACAGTGGGGCCCTGAAGGATATGTCCGCCTGGAACCTGTGACATTATTTGGTGAAAGGGCCTTTGCAGATGTGATTAAGTTAAAGATCTTAAGATGAGATTATCCCAGCTTAGGGTGGGCCCTGAATCCAATAACAAGTGTTCTTATAAACACAGAAGAGGAGAATATGCAGACACAGAGAAGGCCATGTGAAGATGGACAAAGAGACCGGAGTGATGCAGCCACAAGCCAATGACTGCCAGAACCACCAGAAGCTCAAAGAGGCAGGAACAGATGCTCCCTCACAGCCTTCTGAAGAAACCAGCCCTGACAACACCTGAATGTCACTCAGACTCTTGCATCCAGAACTGTAACAGAATAAATTTGCTGTTTTAAGCCACCCAGTCTGTGGTAATTTGTTATAATAGCCACAGTAAGCTAACACAACATGCCAGCCCCACAGGGTTCCAGCAAAGATATGGGGATGCAGAGAGGGCAGGGGGTACCTTGCTCTACACTCTCAAAAGGGAACAGAATGGCATGCTGGAGGCCGCTTATCTCAGAGGCAAGCACTGCTCCCACCCCGGCCCTCATGCTCAGACCTTCTGTGCTGAACTGATGGCCATTCCGCCTTCAGGATACATGTTAACCCGGCAAGCAGCTGGCTGGTACGCTCAGTTGGCTAGAGCATAGTGTCATAACACCAAGGTGAAGGGTTCCGATTCCTGTGCATTCAAGGTCCAGCACAGTATCCTTTTCACTGCAGAAGGTCCTTGCCCTGTCTCCAGATTTCTGAAGTCACAACAGCCATAGATGGAGCAGCTGTCCCAGATGGAGCAGCTGTCCCAGAATCAACAACCTGACAAGGCAGATATGACCTACCCAGGTGATGTCAATAAACAGGCCTTGCCTCAATTTAGAGATACTGTTTTAAACTCTGCTCCAATTTTCTCTATCATCACGGACTTGCTGAAGAGCAGCAATTTACCTGCCAGGTGCGAACTTGAACTCGGTTTGGCTCCACCGTGTAAACGCTTTCTTCATGCATTGCTAACAATGGAGACTCACACAGGAAGGCACCTAGGATGAAGGACAAGCATCAGGACAGCAGCAGCTACCCTTTCCACATGTCCTCAGAGTTTCAGAAGCATATTCACACACGATCCCTCCTTTGTCTCAGCCCTTGTGACAGCTCCACGGGGGACGTGTCATCTGCATCTTACAGAAGAGGAAAGTGAGGCTCAAAGGCACAGGCAACAGCCCAAGGCCACAGCCAGCAGCAACAGCTCCTGCAGGCGACGGGCCCACTGTGGGAACTCACTTAAGCAAGTGTCCACTTATCTTAACTAGAACTTTGGAGATGATAAACCCTGGTATCTGGCTCTAAAGACGTTCTTATCTCCTTAGGGAGATGACACACACACCTGCTGTGCTGGTCCCACTGGCGGAATGAGGAGTTAATTCTATGAGTCTGCATAGGAGAGGGGAGAAGTGGTAGGGGAGAGAAAAGAAGTATGAGAAAGATAAGAGGGAGAGAGGTCATAGCCAGTGGAAGACATCCTTAGAGAGGTGGAGATGTTCAAACAAGGGGCAGCAGTCACCACTGGAACAGCAGAGTGACAAGTCTTGTGAGTTAGAGAGCATGGAGGCCAGGACGGTGGAGGAAGAACTGTGCAGGAGAGTCCCCTAAAGGAGCACATCCTGCGGGCTGGGCCATCGCAGGCTGGAAAACATCCCCAAAGACACTATGTCCTAATCCCCAAAACCTGTGCATTTTACCTCATGTAGTGGATTCAATTATGTCCCCCCAGAACTCCTTGAAGCTTGAATTATGTCCCCCAAGTTTTATGTATTAGAAACTTAGCCCCCACTGTGACTTTCAAGAGCGCGGGAAATGCTATTATGGTAATTGAAAGGTGGGGCCTTGGAGAGGTGATTGGATTGTAGGACCATGCAGTAGTGAATGGATTAAAAATGGTGGTCAGGGTGTGGTTCTGAGGGCTTTAAAAGAGGAAAGTCTGTCTCTGCTCTCCCTGCTTCCACCATCTTGTAATGTGAGACCCCTGGGCCACTGTCACCACCACCAGATGGACTTTGGACTTCCCAGCCTCAGAAACGGTAGGCAATAAATTTCATTTTCTTTACAAATCACCCAATTCCAGGTATTTTGTTATAAGCAACAAAACAGATTAATACATCTCATACAGCAAAAGATGGGAAGGTTTTACAATGGGAAGGTTATACAGGTGTGCCCTAAATGCAATCACAAGTGCTCTGTAAGAGGGAGGCAGATTTCAGATGGGGCAATGTGACCACAGACACAGAGACTGGATTTCTGTGACCACAAGCCAAGAATGGCCAGCGGCCACCCCGAGCTGGAAGAAACCAGGAAGGGATTCTGCCCTAGAGGCTGCAGAGGAAGCACAGCCCTGCTGGTGCCTTCATTTTGGCCCAGTGAAACTGATTTTGGACTTCTAGCCTTCAGATCTGTGAGAATAAGTTTTATTTTAAGCCACTAAGTGTGTGGTAATTTGTTACAGCAGCCCCAGGATGCTCCTACAGGCATGTGCTTAAGAGCGGAGAATAAAGGTGGCCCAATCAAATAGAGAGCTGGCGAGACTGACAGGATGCAGAGAGCTGTTTGAGATTGATGGGGTGTCTCTGAAGATCCACCCTAAACTTTTCAGACAGAGGCTGGCTTTGGTCAAGACACCACGGGTTCACTGCTGTGTATGGTCTGGAAACATCTCAGAAGATGGGTATGTAGTCACCCCCTTCCCTGGAAGGGACCCCATGAAAGCACTATAGTTGTTTACACCCACACGGTCTTATTTCTGAGCCATTTAGAAGCCTGGGAGCCCAGAAGGGCTTGCTGGCCCTGGATCTGGCTGCAGTTCTCAACCACTTTGACTGATTTCAGCAGGATGCAGTCCAGGAGGTGCTGGCAGAGCCAGTGTGAGTACTGACACGATGGTCTCCCAGCCCCGGGCCAACACTCTAACCATACCACTGGCACCAGCATCCCTCTCATTAGATGGTGAGAGAATAAATCAGGGCATTGTGAGTCCCCTCTGGGGGGCGAAAACTCTCACCTGCATTCCGAAACGTGGCTCCAGAAGGCTCAAAGATCACCACCTGTTTTCCGTTCCAGACAGCAACAGCATCCTAAAAAGAAAACAGCCACTCAAAAGCAAAGGTCTGGAGAAGTGAGATGCAAAGCCCCTCTTCCCTCCTTTACCTTGTCCTCCATGCTCTCTGTCACCCTGACATGAGATCACTGAGCCCACAAGGACACAAGTTAAGACTGTTTATCACCTTACATAAAATACTCCTGGTTTTTATTTTCTTTATGATTATGATGCACATGGAGATTTGGGAAACAAGATAATCCAGGAAAGAACTGAAGAGGCCCACCCTGCCACCTGGGCCTCTCCTTGTCCTGAACTGCCCTAATGAACGAGCAGGTTTTTCGTCTGTGGTGAAGACCCCTCGTCTGACCCTGTGCCGCCCCCCCCACCCCTCGCACCCTCCAGCAGTCACCTTGGTGGCAAACACTCCAATGATGTGCATGTCTGTGCGCAGGCTGTGCACTGCCCCCGTGGACAGAAAGGACACGTTGAGCAAGCTCGGGGAGACCTGCACGGCGGCCACCTGCTGGTGGAAGTGCGAGGACATGGCCTGCTCGCTGAGGATCACCACAGAGCTAATGCTGTTCACGGCCAGCAGGTTCTTCCTGGAGCCCCACTTCATCCCAAACGTGTGAACAAAGCCGAGGAAAGACACAGTCAGGGACATTTATATACATGAGGACTCATAAACCATTTCCAAGCACCATGTCTCCTTCTTGTTTAAAAAATGACTTAAAAAATTTTTATGAAGGTAAAATGTGTATTTTGTAGAAGAATTTTAAAACAGATACTTAAGAGTTATGATTCAGCAGGTAGACACTGGTATGGCTATTCTGTGTCTGTTCTAACTGGTTGGCTGTCTTCTAGAACTTGCTTTTCTGAGTATGACATAGGGATGTTTACTTCTTATTTTTTTTTGTGGATGGCCATTATGGGGATCCAAACCCATGATCTTGGTGTTATAAGGCTGCACTCTAATTAACTGAGCTAACCGCCAGCCCTATTTGTTATAAATAAATTGGCATTTTACACAATGTATTAAATTATTCATCTTTCCTCTGCTGATGTGAAATGCCAGTTTCATAATTTCATATTAAAGTTCCAAATCTGTCTAAGATGTTCAATTTTCAACAAAAACTTAAGAGCCATACAAAACAGAAGAATATGACCCAGACACAGGACAAAAAGCAGGCATCAGACACTGCCACGAGACAGCCCAGATGCTGGACTCAGCAAAGACTTCAAAGAAGCCACTGTAAATATATTCAAAGATCTAAAAGAACCATGCTTAACGAAGGAAGGAAGGCCTGATGGCAATGTCTTGTAACAGAGAGTACAATACAGAGAAAGTATAAAAAAGAACCAAATGCCCAAGAGAAATTATAACGTATGTTCACATAAACACCTGTACACAAATGTTCACAGCAGCCTTGTTCATAATAGCTCAAATGTGGAACCAACCCAAATGTCCACCAATTGAAGAATAGATAAACAAAATGGGTATGTCTATACAATGGAATACTATTCAGCCATAACAGGGAATGAAGCACTGACACACACTACGGCATGAACGCACCTTGAAAACATCATGCTAAGCAAAAGAAACCAGTCAGAAGAGACCACATATTGTGTGATTCCATTTATATGAAACATCCAGGCAATTCCAGAGACAAAGCAGGTTAGTGGCTGCCTAGGTCTGGGGGAAGGGGAAAGGAGGAGTGGGGAGTGACTGCTAAGGGTACAAATTTCTTTTTTGGGTTGATAAACATGCTAAAATTTAGTGTGATGACGGTTGCAAAACTGTGAATATACTAAAAACCATTTGTTATTTGAACTATATCTCAATAAAGCTGTTTTTAATATACAGATAGAGACAGGGTTGGGTAGATAGAAAGGCAGATAAATAACTAATACAGGTCTGCAGTCTTATGTTGGATAGTGGATAAAACAGGCTCTAAGCCAATTACCTCCTCCACTTCTATGTGCAGAGTGTGAGTGGACCCAATGCCTCACAGAGCCGTACCTTTATTTGCGTGATGTTTCCTTCGAGCTCAGTGGGGGTTTGAAGGGTCCACCTGTCTTTGCCCTCCACCCCCTGGCTGTTCGGGGAGCCTAGCACTTTTCTCCACATGGCTACGCGCCCTTTATCGGTCCCAGCTGCCAGAAGACCTATAGTTGACCAAAGAGTGCATGTTAACTGAGTTGACACAGGACAAAAACAGCAACAAGCTCTCTTCTTTGACCATCTTCTCTAAAACATTAGGCCTTGCCCAGTTCAGTAACTCTCCAGCCTCTCTCCTGGCTGTATCCTTCTTACCAGGTATGTGGCACTGCCTGGCAACAAGTGCTGGTGCTGGTGCTGGGGCAGGGTAGATGCTGTTTTCTCTGTGTTTTTCTATTTTCCATGGGATCAATCTGCCTGGTCAGCCTCCACTTCCCAGGGATCCACCAGTGCTCAGCACTCAGCAGACAATGACAAATGTGGCTCTGGCTGCCTCCTATTCCTTCTGCCTTGGTGTGCGCACACACGCATGCGCATGCTTATACACACTCTACACTGTCTTCCTTGTGGGGCTTCAGGAGGGAACAGAGATCAATGTGCCTGTATTCAGTCTGTCACACTTTTGACCACTTTGACCTTCGTGTGGAATAATGAAGCTTTACTGTCACTTGCTCATTCTTGACTGACTTAGTCAAATGGCTGACACTATCACTGACTTACCATTCTTCGAGCAGACCCCGGTCTCACTGTAATTACTTTGCAGCCCAAGCACAATGATTGAAGTTGACCCCATTTCTCATGTGCTGGGCCAAGAAGTCTCACCTTTGACTTTACAGTAACAAACGCAGTTTATAGCCTCTCCTTTTTCAAAGCCAAACTTTTCCTCTGGACTCAGTATATAATTCTCTCCTCGTTCTAAATCCCAGAATCTATAACGGAAGGAAGAAGGCCCCATGATGGGGGCTGTGTTAGTGGCATTTTCCTCTGCTCTGAGGGTTTCACTGAACCTTGGAGAAACGTTTAAAGTAAGGAAAAAGACATGGCTCTTCTGACTCCTGGTATGAAAAAGAATGCTATTGTTACGGTTAGGACTATTTTATGCCCTGTTTATAATCAAAGAGAGCAGCTGTTAATAAAAGATGGTCTAGGGCCGAGCCTGTGGCGCACTCGGGAGGGTGCGGTGCTGGGAGCACGGTAGTGCTCCCGCGCTGCGGGTTCGGATCCTATATAGGGATGACCGGTGCGCTCACAGCACTCACTGGCTGAGCGCGGTGCGGCCGGTCTCAAAAAGGACAAAAAAAAAAAAAAAAAAAAGATGGTCTATGACATAGGTCACAGTGGGAACATGGGAACTCCAGCCACACGCAGCAGCACAGGAGAGCCCCAGGTAGCATGGTGATCTAAAGCAGCCAGACCTAACAGAGACCACAATACCTGATTCTATTCACATCAAGCTCAGAAAAACCAGGCAGAGGTTCCACATGCAGACACCAGCATGGTACTCCCTGTTGGGTGGGGACCCACAGGGAGAACAGCAGAGAGGGGACACTCTTGGGGTCTCTAATGTGTTCCTCGATCTGGGAACTGGTCACATGGATCTGTCCAATTTGTGAAATTCATCAACATATGTGCATTTTACTGTCCCTATGTTACACTCCAGTGAAAAGTTTACTTAAAGCGCTTACTCTGACAGTATTTTCATCATGGGGCATGCACGGGAAGGATGGGCTCTCACCGCAGGATGGGCTCCCCGATGGCCATCACGAGAAGGCTGCCTTCAATCAAAGCAATGTCCGCCCGGCAGCCTGTTTTCCCGCTCAACTTTACCTGTGTGGGGAAAACAACCCGAAAGAAGCACATGGCTCTTGCCGAGACTGCCTGGCCCAGAATTTGTGAGACTGGGGTCTCTGGTCTTTGGTGGCTTCATAGAGCCTGACCAGGTGGAGGAAATGCAGGGCAAATAATGACAAATTTAAGAGGTGTCCCTGGTTTTCAAGGTGTGAGGCTGAAGCAGATGATACCCCTGCTTGTTAGACAGGAGCTACCTCGCATGCAGTGTGTCGGGCACCCTGTCGGTGAGCATGTCTCTGGCGCGATCACACAGGCACGCCGTGTGCTCCCTGCACAGTCATGACTACACCCTCAGCAGGTCCTACTTTCCCTGTAGTGCAGAGAACAAACCTGCCCAGAGCCCACCAGCCAGTGAGTAGCTTACCAGGGTGTGTGAAGCCAGGTGCTGAGCACTGACCTATGTCCCCAACCCCAAATTCCCATGTTGAAATCCTAAGCTACAATGTGACTAGATTCAAAGATAGGGCCTTTAGGAGGTAATTAAAGTTAAATGAAGTCATAAGGGTGGACTGTGGCCTTGTAAAGAGAGACCATGGGCACTCTTTCCATCTCTCTTTCCCTCCTGCCACATGATGATACAGTACGAAGGTGGCCATCCACAAACCAGGCAGAGGGCCCTCACCAGGAACCGAGTTTGCTAGCACCTTGACCTGGGACATCCAGCCTCCAGAGCCATGTGCGAGAAATGTCTATTGTTAAGTCATGCAGTCTGTGCTGGTTTGCTATGGAGGCCTGAGCTAACTCACACACCAGGTCCACTTGACTTAGTAACCATGTTATCAACTACTGTTACAGGATGCATAAATAACCAAATAAACAAATGACTTACAAAAAAAATTAACTGTGTAATCCACAAGAATCTGTTTAGGAAGAGTTCAGTGTTCTTCAAGGAGGATGGATTCCTATGGTACAAACCCAGAAACTAATGGGGGGCAGCAACAGGCAGTGCCCCAAGAGGATACATGGCCCCATAAAGGACCTCGTGGCCCCTCTGACGCCTTCGTAGCAGGCCTCCCATGCCTGAGGGTGGTCCCAGAGCTGATGCTGCCAGGTGCCTTTGAGGACATTCCGGGCGTTTTAGTAGCCACATTGAGATATCCACTACCCAAAGAGGGTCACTGCAAACATACCCATCTGGTAACACAATGTGCTCGTGTGGGTGAATGGCAGACATGACAGACTATGGGGCCACAATCCTCCCAAAAGACACTGGGTGAGGGACACCCTGGGCTCTTGGCTGGCAAACAAGCCTCTTCAATGCCCATCCCACACACAGCTGGGAAGCAGGGATGCTGTCGCCTGCCCCACCTGGTCTGTGTGGAGGTCAAGGAAATGCTGCGAGGTGAGTGCTGTGACTGTCATGCCCTGAGGCTGTGAAAACCTCCTTCCTTTTATTTCCCTCACCTCTGAACTGAATATTGTACAGTAGATAACAATATTGAATAGCTACGTTAGTTGTTCTTAAACAAATATGACAGCTTTTTCACTCTTGCTAACCAGAAAAGAAGGGCAGTCAAACCAGATTGGCGAGAATCTGGCCTACGTTCTTCGGCATGCTGTGAGCAAGGCCCCTGCATGCCTGTCCCAGACCCCGCGCTCCCACCTACCTTCGTCACCTCTTCAGCTTTGCCCTCGGGAGTTACTATGTACAAGGACAGCAGGAGATTCTCCGTGACCACCACCAGCGCCTCCCACTTCTCTATATAGAACAGCATCTGGATCGAGCTGTCCATGGCCGCCACCCGGGTGGTCTTGCCTTTCTCATCCACATAGTGCACCATCCCTAGGAGCAAAGGCGGTCACTGCTGGAGGCGGCTCCTGGTCTATTTGTGCTTCCACGACACTCAGAAGCAGCTACTTCTATCTACGTAAGGACGTTTTCAAAATAAGCCACCTTCACTCTAAGAATATGAAACAGATCGCTCACGCATAACCTCACAGCTTCCATCTCTGCAACCGTCTCCACCTTATAGGTTCGGTTCAGCCTTGACGTGAGCTGTCTCCCTCGGTTCTTTCTCACCCCCATCTTGGGGGGTTTGGGCATCCACTCAGTTGACCCTCTGATGCTACAGCCCTGACTCTGTGCATCCTAGTCTATGAGTGTCAGGTGCACATGCATCCTCCACACACCAAAGCCCTATGCGGTACGCCCTCTGTAGCTGCCGCATGCTGTCTCTTCTGTCCGTGTGTCACTGGGAGCCATGTGCTGTCTTGCCGGGCCCTCTCTGGACCTCCCTCTCTCAAGCTCACAGTTCCCCGTGGTCTAAGCCACAGGACTCGGCTGTGCCAAAGCGGCCCCTTCTCCTAGTGCGGAATCCCTCCTCCCCCCGCCCTGAGCCTGCCCCTCTGTCTGCCTCCTTTGCTCCTGTGTGATCGTGGTGGTGAGTGTCCTGTGAGTTCTCGGGGATTCTCTGGTTCATTTCTGCAGCTCTGCAGGAGCCTCCTCACCCTCCCAGTCTCTTCTCATCTTATTCCCAATGGATAACTTGGGTTCTTATTCAACTTGAAAGTTCAAGGTTATCTAGAGGCTAATCATAACTGTAACTAGTATGTGACACACGCATACTACGTGGCTGGCTCGATTTTAATCGCTCTTACAGGTAACGACCAGGTAGACACTAGTATAATCCCCATTTTCCAAATAAGAAAGCTGAGGCACATGGAATAAGCTGCCCCCGAGGCCTACAGCCCCTGATGGGCAGGGATTTGCACCACACCAGAGCCAGTTTCTCTGTAGCACTACTCGCCCTCCTACAGACCACCCACATCTTTCCTGGACAGGCCTCGTCACCATACCACCTTCTCCACCCTCCTCCCTAAGGGGGCCTTGCCCTCACAAGCCCCCTCTCTGCTACTGCCACAGTGCTTTGCCCACTCAGATGGCCCCTCTGGGACCTTCTCCATTTCCCCCTCTGTGGGTCCCATCTCTTTTTATTTTTTTGGCAGCTGGCCAGTTTGGAGATCCGAACCCATGACCTTGCTGTTATAAGGCTATGCTCTATCTGAGTTAAGCAGCCAGCCCAGACCTTGTCTCTTTACCTCCTGAAATGACAGGTTTCTCTTACTTAAAGATTTACAAAGCCCCATGGCTGCCCACTCTCATCTCCTCTCAAGGTGAAGCTCCTTGTCCTCATGCCTGTGGCCTTAGTGTGGCTCTCAACTCCTTGGCCCTTCCAGCACAGACACAGACCCGTGACTGCCTTGTGTGACGGTAAAAGTCCCTTTCACCTTCACAGTGTGTTTATTTGGGCCTCCGCTGGAGCAGCCTGAACCCCTGCCCACCCCGAGGAGGGGTGGTGTGAAAGTCAAACAGAGGGCTCTTAATCCTGACCCCTGTGAAGGCTGGTTGGTGGCTGCAGGCTGGAGGCAAAAGCCACCCAGTCCTGCTCCCACTTCATTCCCAGATCCCAGCTGAGCACCTGGGACACTGGAAGTGCTTCATAATCATAGACTGAATGAAGGGAGTGCCATAAAAAAACCTTTCCAAAGCTGTCTCTACTGTCTCTGGGGCCGTACTATCTGCATGCAATGGCTGACTAAAGACCACCTCAGGAGAACCCTTCAAGCACAAGCAACACTCGCCTTGTCCATCACAACAAAGAGAAGCCACACTCCGAGTGTTGGATAGACAACTGCGGGACGCCGGCGGGCGTGGCACCCTGACATTGGCACGCACGCCGCCTGTTTTGATTTCATGCAGAAATGCCACCATTAGGTTAAAATCCTTACTAGATACTCCTAAACCTCTGACTCCCTAGAATCACAAGCCAGGTTCCTCACCGTCCATCAGACTGACAAAGAACGACAGCCCTTCCTGAGACCCCATCTTCAGGAAGCTTCCCAAGCCGCTTTTTCTCCAGTTGAACATGTCCAGGGCTTTCTCGTCACCGCTCACAGCTGCCTTCGCCAACTGAACCAGGTCCCTGAGGGTAAACATGATGAAGGAGTCAAGGTTCTCCTGCTGCTCCTAGAGTGACTAGGGGATGGGGTCCCTTCTGGGCCAGGAGCTGCCCCAGTCCCCAGGGAGGTAGACACACACAGGCCACGCACGAGCTGCATACTCACTCGCCAGGAGGGGGGAGCCGGAAGATGCAGTGAGTGAGCTGCTCCCCATACTCCTGTTTTAGCAGTGGTGTCCCTTGTACTCGGCCCCTTTGGTCCAACCTCCATAAGAGCAGGACACCGAGCTGGAAAAACCCAACAGCACAGCATGTGTGTGGGAAACGTGTTCTTACAGAACAACTGGCTGAAGGCAGAAGCAAAACTATGCAGTAGGACATACGCTTATTGCTTTTTTCATTTTTAAACCACACAACTACTACATGTGTACTGTGAAACTTTCAAACAACTCAAAAGTGTTTAAAGAAAGAACTGGAAATTTTTTTTTTAAAAAAGATGACTGGTAAGGGTATCTTAACCCTTGACTTGGCGTTGTCAGCACCACACTCTCCCAAGTGAGCTAACCGGCCATCCCTATATAGGGATCTGAACACGCGGCCTTGCTGTTATCAGCACCACAATCTCCCAAATGAGCCACAGGCCGGCCCTAAAACCGGAAACTCTTCTATTTACCCTCTCCCCATCCTCACTCCTGAGAGAAAGCAACTGTTACATGTTTGATTTTTTAAAAATAAGCTTTGCATGTTAGAATAGATTTAGATTTATGGAAAAATGGCAAAGGTAGTGCCACTGGGGATACTGAAGTCAATGCTGGTCTAACGGAGGGCAGGAAGAAGAATTTACCATGTGCTAAAAATTCTCCATCTGTGAGCTGGGGAATGCTTGGGCATGAAGCAAGAGAGCCAAACAGAGAGAGTCAGACGAAGTACTGCCGCTGGGCAAAGCCCATCTCACACCTGCCGAGCACGAAGACCTCCCGGCCTAACCAATGGAGTCATCTCCTCCTCCCTCGAACTTCTCCAGCACTTACCTGTGCTGTTAATCTGAGACTTTGATGACTTTAAAACTGAACGTAAAGTATACCTAGCACCCAGAACTTGGCGTCTTTATTTTTTTATTTTTATTTTTTTTTAAGTTAAAAAGATGACTGGTAATGGGATCTTAACCCTTGACTTGGTGTTGTCAGCACCACGCTCTCCCAAGTGAGCCAACCAGCCATCCCTATACAGGGATCTGAACCCGTGGCCTGGGTGCTATCAGCAGCACACTCTCCCAAGTGAGCCAACCAGCCATCCCTATACAGGGATCTGAACCCGTGGCCTGGGTGCTATCAGCAGCACACTCTCCCAAGTGAGCCACAGGCTGGCCCTAGAACTTGGTTTCTAAAGCCATTCCCCAATAAATGTAATATATGATCCTTGACCAGATCCTAGGTTAGGAAAAAACCAGCTATAAAGGACATTCCTGGGACAACTGGAGAAATTTTATTTTTTATTTATTTTTATTTTTATTTTTTTTTCCTTTTTGTCTTTTTTCGTGTCCGGCAATGGATCGGAACCCTCAGGTCGCGCCCGGACCGGACCGGGACCGGCAACGGGATCGCAACCCTCGGTGCTGCGCCCGCACCTCGCTCAGCCAGTGAGCGGGAACCGGTCTGTATGTGGGATCCGAACCCTCGGCGGGAGTGCCGCCGTGCTCCCAAGCGGCACACTGTAGCAGTGCGCCACTGGGCCGGCCCCAGACAACTGGAGAAATTTTAATACGGTACTGTGTCAATGTTAAATTTCCTGAGTGTGATAACTATATTGTGGCTACGCACAAAAACCTAGTTCTTTTTTTTTTTTTTGTCTTTTGTCTTTTTCCGTGTCCGGCAACGGATTGCAACCCTCAGTGTTGCCCCCGCACCGGACCGGGGACCGGCAACGGGACCGCAACCCTCGGCGTCGCTCCCGCGCCTCGCTCAGCCAGTGAGCGGGAACCGGTCTGTATGTGGGATCCGAACCCTCGGGCGGGAGCGCCGCCGCGCTTCCCAAGCGGCGCACTATCCAGTGCGCCACCGGGCCGGCCCCCAAAAAACCTAGTTCTTAAGAGATCAATGCCTAAATACTTAGGGGTGAAGTATCATAATTTTTGTGACAAACTCTCAAATATTGAGGAAAAAAATACACATAGAAAGCAGATGTGTCTGGGCCGGCCCGTGGCTCACTCGGGAGAGTGCGGTGCTGATAACACCAAGGCTGCGGGTTCGGATCCCATATAGGGATGGCCGGTTGGCTCACTGGGTGAGCGTGGTGCTGACAACACCAAGTCAAGGGTTAAGATCCCCTGACCGGTCATCTTTTTAAAAAAAAAGAAAAAAGAAAAAGAAAGCAGATGTGTCATAGCGTTAACAACTGGTGAAACCAAGTGGAGGGCAGAAGGGGATTCCTTGTACTCTGCTTTCAACTTCTCTAAAGATCTGAAAATTTCAAAATCAGAAGTTAGGGAAAGTGCACTTGTATGTGCCTGTATCTGCCTGAAGAAACTGGAGAGTTATTAAAAAGCTGTCTGTGCTGAAGGATAGGGAGGGGACTGAGTGGACAAGGGATAGGTTGGAGAGTTTTCTCACTTACACTTTCTGAACTTTGCAACATATAAACGTATTACCTATAGTAAAAATAAATTAACACGTTGTAAAATTTCTGCCATACGTTTGTGAATCAAAATAGGCCTAGACCAGGGTTTCTTACCATCGGCACCCAATCATTCTCTGTGGTGGGTCTGTCCTGTGCACTGGAAGATGCTGAGCAGCATCCCTGGCCTTTACCACCCACAGATGCCAGAACCACCCCCTCGAGTTGTGACAACAAAAAAATGTCTCCAAATACTGCCAAGTGTCCCCTGAGGGACAACATCAATTGTGATTAACAAGCCCTGAGCTAGACAAATACGACTAGGGACCCCTGGGCATGGAAGCCAGTGATTCTGGGGTGCCATAAACGTGAGAGTATCTAAGGCTTTCACCTTATCTCTATGAATGCAATTTCTTTTTTTTTGTTTGTTTTTTTGTTTTTTTTCCTTTAAATTTTTATTTTGTCGATATACAATGTGGTTGATTATTATGGCCCATCACTGAAACCTCTTCTGCACAGCAAAAGAAACAATTAACAGAGCTAAAAGACAACCAACAGAGTGGGAGAAAATATTTGCAAAATATACATCCGACAAAGGATTAATATCCAGAATATACAAGGAACTCAAACAACTTTACAAAAAAAAACAAGCAATCCAATAAAAAAATGGGCAAAAGAGCTAAGTAGGCAATTCTCTAAGGAAGATATACAAATGGCCAACAGTCATATGAAAAAATGCTCAACATCACTCAGCATCCAGGAAATGCAAATCAAAACTACACTGAGATACAATCTCACCCCAGTTAGGATGGCTAAAATCCAAAAGACGCTGAAAGATAAATGCTGCTGGCATGGTTGTGGAGAAAAAGGAACTCTCATACATTGTTGTCTATCTTTAACACAGTTCTATCAATAAAGTGAATGCAATTTCTTACCAAAGTTAATTTTTAAGACTACAAAGTCATAATAAATCCTTTGTCACAGAGGGACATCTTAAAATATAATTTCAATCACTGCTTCTGATATGAAATAAAATCTGTAATTACATCCCACAAGACCAATTGAAATTGGCAACCATGCATTTCAAATGGTCATTGTGTGAACATCAGAGAGTGTGCTTACTCACATCTGGATGGTATGGCCTACCACACACCTAGGCCATGTGTAGCCTACTACTCTGACCACCACTGTATATAGAGTCCAAAGTTGACCGACACGTCATTACGTGGTGAACGATGGTAAAGTGGACTTTCACATCCTCCCCCACGTATATCTGTAAGAGCAGGGCCAAGTAATGCAGGGATCTGAGATCCAGGCTCAGTGTTTACTTACCCTATCCCCAGACACAAGGCAACTCCCATTGGTGCTCCACCTGAGGACAGTAATGTCGGTGGTGTGTGTCGGGGGCACTGTGTGCTGCTCCTTGTCCTGTTTGTTGAACACTATCAGTTCTCCAGTCTCCCAGCCAATGGCCAGGATCAGCCGTGATGGGTGCCAGCACAGGGAAGTGACCTGGAACAACCTCTCAATGTGTGTATCAGGCACATGCTCACCCTACGCAGGAGAAGAGGTAAAATCCCATGTTACAGAGAGTGGCAGCTACTTCAACAATTTCTGGCTAATCCATGGAATCCACACAAGCTAGAAGATATAAAGAGCTGTTGATTAAGGAAACATTCATGTTAGGCTTTTCAGTTTTCATAACATACGAATCTTCCCCCTTGCTGAGCTATCGACATGGAAGGTACCTAACACTCAGCCGAGGCTGACTAGCTCATCAAGGAGTGTAACCTCCTATCACAGCTGTCTGGTGGCCAGCAAGCATTCTAATGGGTGGGGCCGGGTTCCAATAAAGCTTTATTTACAAAAATGGGCAGCAGGTGAAGTTTGTCACCCCAAGGTTCTCAAAGTTTGGTCCAGAGATCCTTGGGGCCCTTTCAGAAATCTGAAATATCAAAGTAATTTTCAGAATGATACTAACAAGTCATTTGCTGCATTTTCTCTCTCTCATGAGAGTACAGTGAAGGTTTCCAGGGACCATGCCATGAATGAAGATGTCCTCTCTCTCACAGCTAATGGTGGACATGAGTGTATATTCTCGTTTTCTAGAATTTTCTAAGGAAGTGAGTTTAGTGAAGGAAACACAAGTACACTTCGTTGACTTGTTTTGCAACAGTATGTTTTAATTTTTTCTAATTTAAAATTTTTATCTAAAATGGCTGTAATTTTGGAATTTAATAACACTTATTCTAAAAAAAAATTACCATACATATTAAAGAAGTCTCTGACTCCTAGAAGGGAGAATCTACTCTAAAGAGACCAGGCAAAACTGAACATGGTGCTGGGGATGCACTAACCCGTAAACAGGCCTGACCCTCACTGAGCTACCTTTGTATGGAGGAGCCTGCCAAAGACTGACGCAAGCTATAGGCGAGCGCTGTGTCGAGCTAGGTGGGCACATGTGGGCATGTGTGTGGGGCCTCCTCAGAAAGAGGCCACCAATCCACTTTGTGTGAAGGACAGGAGAGATTCTTCTGTGCAGATGGCACAGCACACGCAGTGCTGGAAGACCAGGGAAGGCTGCAGCAGGCCTTGGTGTGCCAGTGAGGAAGGAGAAATAGTAAGTAAAACATGGGCAGAGCCAGGACTTGGGGGTCCCAGGGCCACGTCGGAGATTTCCCTGCTCACCCAAAGAGCAATATGGGGTGAGAAGTGGGAGCAGGGAGCGATTTGATCTGTGATTCTAAAAGATGGCTCTGACCACTGTGCAGGGAACACAGTAGAGGAGGCCTGGCTGGTGTCCAGGAAAGAGGGGACAGGAGCTTAGAGGAGGACAAGACCAATGGAGGGGGTAGGAAGTGGCAGATTTGCCAGAGAATCTGGGGGTAAAACAGGGAGAATTTACAAGGCAGGGGAGTGGGAGGTGTCAACAGTCATTCCAGGGGATCGGGACAAAGGGAGGTGCCTTTCCCTGAGACAGAAGGTGCCAATAGCCAACTTCTGCAGGGAGGTGTGAGGCTGGGGGGCAACTTCAGTTTTGGACTTGTGGAGTTTGAGATATCTTTGAAACCCAAGAAATGTCACAAAGGCAGATGAATTCCCAAGTTTGCAGCTAACGGAACTTCTGGGCAGGGGACATATGTTTGCAAGTCATTCACCGATAGGCTGAAGCCGCTGGGGAGGCCAAGATCACAGGAAGAGGAAGCAGAGAAGAGGCCTTGATGAGCTCTGTGGAATGCCAATGCATTCCTGGTTTGGAACAGGAGGAAGAGCTGCAAAGCCCACTGAGGAGGCTGGGTGGAGGAAAGTCCTGCGTTCTCCAGTGTGTTTCTGGAAGACTCTATGCCAGTGTGGAGAACCCAAAACACTCAGGGTACACAGAAGCCACTGATGAGTACAGCTGCTTGGGTGAAGTCACAGTGGCAACAGAGAGACAGAAAAGGGCTGAGTGGGAGAGGAAATTCGATCTCCTTTGTGAAGTATGAGGTGCTGTGCAATGAGAGTAGGGCGGGAGCTTCGGAAGTTTGAGGAGCTTGAATAAAGTTTCTGTTATGGATTGAACTGTGTGCTCCAAAAAGACAGGGTGAAGTCCTATCCTCAGGCACCTGTGATGAGACCTTTGTTGGAAATAGAGTCTCTGCAGGTGTAAGCAAGCTAAGATGAGGTCATCAGGGTGGGCCCTGATCCAATATGACTGGTGTCCTTTTAAAAAGAAGAGACAGACACACAGAGGAGACGGCCATGTGGCACCAGAGGCAGAGCTGGAATGATACGTCTACAGCCAAAGAACACCAAGGCCTGAGGGCAAGACCAGAAACTAAGACAAAGGCCTGGAACAGACTAGCCTTGCAGACCTCACAGGAAGCCACCTAGGTGGTGCTGATCTGTTACAGCAGCCACATAAACTGCCACAGTTTGAAATGGCCAGTGTGAAGAGTTGAAGAGTAAGCTGACAGGAGCACAGGGTAGGGCCTCAGGCAATGCCAAATGCCCGTTTCTGGTTGGTGGCTATGAACTGAGTGTGGAATATGTCTTAAGCATTCCTCAATATGTCTCCAAACCTAAACAGCAAGTGTAAAAGAACTGCCCATATGCTAAGGCTTTTATAGTATTGAGAATCTGGATTTCAGCAGAACTAACAGTGGGTGTTACTTGTTTTCTTCATGGAAAAGCTAGAGTAGAACTCATCTGATCACTCACACACACGCACACACACACACACATACGCACACACACATGTGCACGAGAACAAAAGACAAATGAGAGCCAGAAACTGCTAAAGTCAGTCGTTGCTTGTGAGTACTCACTTGTTCCAGATATATGTCTACACTGCCTCCTGAGGTTGTGCTAACGGAGGCGACTGCCAGGAATGGATGGACAGGGTGCCAGCTGATGTGGGAGGGTGGCCCGGCTGAGTCTGGGGCTTCTATCCGGTGGTCAAAATAGAGGGCCATGACCAAACACAGACCTGGTCAGGATTAAAACCTGCGGGGAAAAGACAGCCAAGTCTAAATGGTTTTAAACTAAATGACCACACTGTATACAGAATTATGAAAGGGGACCATCACAAACCCACAATCGTGAGACATCTGGCAACTTTATTACATGGAAGAGATCTCCAACAGGAAAAATTAAAAAATTAGAGCAAGCGACTGAACCTGGAATGATGAAAAAGAATAAAACTCACTGCCATCAAAGAAAAAGAGAAAGAAAAAAAGTCCCACACCCTAGACTACACAATCTTTGATAATTCATATTCTAATCACAATAAAGACAATCTATGTTTCTTTTTTTTGGCTGCTGGCCAGTAAAGGGATCGAACCCTGGACCTCAGTGTTACCAGCATCACACTCTAAACCACTGAGTTAACTGGCCATTCCTACATTTCTATAGCTCCCTTTTTAGAAAAATTTTCAAACAAAATAAAAGCAAACTGTTCCATAAGAGAGTTCTGGCACAGACAAAAACAGTACTCAATTTCTGATAAAGCATAAAACCCAAGACTGTCTTCTTGCTCCAACTCCCAGCTGGTTGAAGACAAGATTCCTCTATGAGAGTACAGAATACAAAGCCACAGCAACCGAGGGGAAGGTGAACTTGATTAGTTACATGAACTTTTTTTTTTTTCCTTTTTGTCTTTTTTCGTGTCCGCCAACGGACCGCAACCCTCAGTGTCGCACCCGTACCGGACGTGTCGCGCCCGTACCGGACCGGGACCGGCAACGGGATCGCAACCCTCGGTGCTGCGCCCGCCCCTCACTCAGCCAGTGAGCGGGAACCGGTCTGTATGTGGGATCCGAACCCTCGGTGGGAACGCCGCTGCGCTCCCAAGCGGCGCACTGTAGCAGTGCGCCACCGGGCCGGCCCTAGTTACATGAACTTAATCTCTTCTTCCCTCTCTACTTTCATTCTTCTTTTCAGACCTGGCAGAGGTAAACATATTGTCCCTTGTCAGGAGGGTGGGAGGGTAAGTGAAACGACAGTCTGACTGCTGCTCACCTTTTCATACTCCAGGGTCAGTCTGGGGAAGCTAACTGGCAAAGAGGGAACGTTTGTGGGTTGGTTTGCCATCATTTAAAACTATTTAACTTCATATCCAGTACCAAAGCTATTATCAGAAAAACAAGACAGTAAGTGCTGGCAAGAATGTGGAGAAATTGGAACCCTGTGCACTGCTGGTAGAAATGTAAAATGTCTCAGCTGCTGTGGAAAACAGTCTGGAAGATCCTCAAAAATTAAACAAGAATTACCATTTGATTCAGCAATTCCATTTCTGGATATATACCCAAGGAATTGAACAGACATGCATACATCCATGTTAACAGCAGCATTATTTACAATAGCTAAAAAGTGGAAACAACACAAATGTCTGTTAATAGATGAATGGATAAACAAAATGTGGTATTCCCACATAATGGAATATTACTTGGCCTTAAAAAGGACAAAGATTCTGAAACATGCTACAATATGGATTAACCTTGAAGACACTGTGCAAAGTGAAATAAACCAGGCACAAAAGGACAAATACTGCATGATTCACTTATGTGAGGTCCCTAGAGAAGTGAAATTCATACAAAATAGAATGGTGGGTGCCAGGAGCTGGGAGGAAGGGGAACAGGGAGTTTGTGTTTAATGGGTACAGAGTTTCAGTACAAGATGATGTGAAAGTTCTGGAGAGGGATGTGGTGACAGTTGTACAACATTATGAACATATTTAATGCCACTGAACGGTACACTTTCAAATGTTTAAAATGGTAAATCGTATATTATGTATAGTTAACCGCAATAAAATAATTGTTTAAAAAACAAGAAGACCTGGAAAAATTCTGTTAAGAGAGTAGGAAATGGCCTATGCCACTTGCTTTTGGCAATGCAGCAGTCATATGCGAGGAAGCTGGGAAGGCTCGGTGTGGATCTGGAGTAGGAAACACTCATCAATGAGAAGCTGGAAGACACACAAGTACAAATGAACCATCACATTTCAAACGCTCACCTTTTTCCTATGAATATATGCCCTTATACTAAACAAAGGCACACTTTTTATGGCTGTGTTCTCACCAATGAACTAAAGGGCACCAATCAGTGCAAGCCTCCCAGTGAAGTGGCCACCTCTGGTCTCCAGGCTCTCCTCTGGCTGGAAGAGCTAGAGGCAGAGATAGTGGCAGAGCCCTGGGTCTCCTGCACACACATATCACTTAGGGGAGGGACATCTATACTGGTCAGGGCTCTGCTTTCTTTGAGTGTAGTCCTTATGCAAACCTTCAAACAAAGCCATTAAAAATGAAAATACAAACAAAAACCCTAAAAAAAAAAAGAAAAGAAAAGAAAAATGAGAACACAACAGATCAAAACCTGAACAATTTAAAATAGCAAAGGACACCTTTAAAATGAGTTTTAACCTGTTGCAGCCAGCCAAGGGTCAAAATGCAATGCTGCACTATGGGAAGTTTGCATTTAACAAATTCACTTTGTAAAAATACTTCTCTGAAAAATGAGTAATACATTAGTTTTCTTGTAATGCTGAAAAAAGAATTATAATAGCACTCAAATAAAATCTGACATGATCTCCCCAGTATTTTTTATTTCAAACATCATTTTGTAATAACTATGAATGCTAAAGGGCCTCTTTTTTTTGGCAGTTGGCCTGCTATGGGGATCTGAACCCTTGACCTTGGTATTAACAGCACCATGCTCTAACCACGTGAGCTAACTGGCCAGCCTCTAAAGGACCTTTAAATTATTTTCTCTACTGTCTGGGGCTTTTCCAAAGGCTCTTTCCCCCACACTCCTCCTTTGGGTCCTAGCGTAACCTCTCCCCCTGGAACTGTAGGGACTCGACTTCTCCTAGGTTGTCCTGTGCTGCCACCCAGTGTCTCCATACTACCCTGTAATTCTCCATTGCTGTAACAGACCTTATGGTAAAAGTGTGTTTTGATTGAACATACTCCGCTCCCCCCCCCATGTTGTCTGCCCCACAAGGTGGGAAACACTGGAGCATCCCAGGCCCTAGAACAGTGCCTGCAACAGAATAGGCCCCCAATATGCAAATCCCGGATGAAGAAGTTTATTAGCAAGGAAAGTTCCTGATGCTTTGTTAGTTGCAAGTGAGTTACAGTCCAGCATGAGTCCATTGTTACACAATGTATAATTGTTCATCATTCTTCCCACCCGCATTGTAACATTTTCCTACAATGAATAAGTATTATCTGTGTAATTTTAAAAGTTACGAAGGTAAACACAAGGAAACAGATGGGTAGCAATAAAAGAGTTACATAATGACAATTATCAGAAACAAGCACGCCGCCTTTCTTTAAAGACCAATTCCCCGCTCTAGAACATAAAACTGGCAGACGTATAAACTTCGGGGAGAAAGAGAAAGTTTGCATTTAATCTCACCGGTTTATTCCCCTCACCTCCAGGCGTCCAGAATCTCCAGGGCCTCTCTGTAAGTGTCCCCGTTAAACCAACTTTTGGGTGAGAATCTGTTCAGCTCGTTCAACTCAGGGGAGGTGGTGGGAAGGCTCTGAGTAGCCCAACCCCGGCTCAGCGGGGATCCGGGGACTCGTGCCAGCGGCCGCCCGCGGGGCCTACGACTGCATCTTCCGGACACAGCTGAGGGCCGCGCGCTGGCGGGGGCACTACGCGGCCCACTCGAGCCGCAGGTGTCGTTTTCAAGACCCGCCGTCGACGGGGCGCGCAGAACGTTTCCACTTTGCTTTCTCCCCCGGCCCCTGCGGTCACGGGGGCGTCTGACAGCGCCACCCACCTCCCCGCACCGGGCGACGCTGCCAAGCCCGTCCGCACGTCCCGGGGACCCCCGAGAGCGCTCACCTGGGCTGGCCACGGCGCGTTGCCGGGACAACGCCGCAATGATCGCGGAAACAGCCGAAGGCAAGCGACGCGGACCGAGGCCGCCCGAAGCTCCCCGAGCGGCCGCAGACAGCCCAAAGCGAGCGGGAGCGCGCGCGCGGCTCCGAGCCCCGAGCCCGGCTCTCCAGGGGTGCTGGTCGGTGGGGGCGAGAGGGTCGGAGAGGGTCAGACCATTCCAGGGTCCGGGGCGGTCGAGGCGGGGACTCACGCTCCGTCCAGACCCGGCTTCGGCGTGGTCTCGGCAGGCAGCGGGGCCCAGGACCGGGCGTTAGAAGACGTCCGCATAGCTGCAGAGCGCCGACAACGAGGATGCGTCCATTTTCAGTCCCTCTACTGACAAACGTTAGAATATTGACCGCCCCGTCATCGCACGGTGAGGGCCCAGCGCCCTCGGCTGCGTTGAAGCAGCCCGAGAACGGGCGCGACCGCCACCTCACACACTCCCGCGCGAGCCCCGCTGCGCGCCCGATCCCAGCCACGGAGCTCGGACGGTGTTTTCTTCTCACGCATCCGTCAACACGGCCGCGGCCAATCACAGCCCGGGAGCTGGCCCCATTGGCTGCCGCTTGACCAATCCGAAGGGACGCACAGCACGCACAGTCGCGAGGCTGGCGTCACAACATTGCCCGCGCAGCAGGACCGCCCCTTGCCCACGCCACGTGCCCGTGCGTGAGAGCGCGTGCCCGCTGCTGGCCAATGGGAGCGCCGTTGGGGGGGCGGGCCCGCTGGAAACCAGGGACGTGCTCGCTCCCGTGCGCGTCGCCCCGCCCCGCCCGGGCGCGCCGATTCCTCGGTCCCCTCCGGCTGCCGTAGCCGGAACTGCTGCCAAGCGCGGCGGGACGGGCCTCGGGAAGCTGAGTCGCGGCAGTACGGGCGCCCGCAGCCCTGTTTCCCAGGCGGGGTGGCCAGAGCGGCGTCGAGGCCTCGCA